AATTAAATATTAAATTAATATTTAAATAGTTATTATAATGAAATACAATTGTTGAACACGATCAGTGCGAGTAGAAAAAAATGTTCACTTTTAAGAATTGTCTCGAGATGATAGTAGCTCTTGTCAATAAACTAATTTGCAGGCAGACTGAAAGTGTTTTGTCAACGGAAAATAACATTGTCAACATCAAAGACTTTATGAATATTCCCTTTTATTAATAGTTGCCTCTGCAGAATGAACAATTAAGAAGATTTCACAAAGCGCACAAAAAGGCGGAATACGAACCAACTCCATAGAATGTTTTATTTAAACATAAAAGGGCTAAAAGAATGCGAAACAAGACGAACTTGAAAATAATCCCTTACATCAAAATTTTAAATATTTAAAAACCTAACTTGTCTGAAATAAAACGCAAGGAGCTAAAGAAGAGAAAAATTCACAAGAAAAAAAATTTTCTAACCTTATTACACAAGCTCCGTTGTATGTTCCCAATGAAGCAAATTATATCATGAAAGACTAAAAAAACTCCAATATTCTTACTAAAATGGTGCAGGAAACAAGAGACCAAACTAAAAAGTTTAAAAAATTAATACCTTCAGAAATGACAAACAGATTGTGAACGATTTTGATTAGTATCTTTTTAGAGATTTCGTCTAAACGAAAACTTTTACCCACGTTTACAAATCGAGAAAACACCCACCGAGTAAAATACCATAAAAAAAAGAAAGCACAATATCACAATTTTTGGCAAGTAGGCGAATACGCATTTTGAAATAGATATATTAAGTAAAATGTCGAGCAGCTGCTTATATATATTGTCGGCAAGACGCACATACGATCTGCTAAAATATTTGTTTCCTGGACAAAGTGCGCGAAATACTTCTGGGGAAACATCATTAGGCAATTGGGTCCAAGTCACGGTCTCTGGACACACAAAACAGTTGGTATTTCTACGCAACACACACCCGCTATTGGATTATTAAATTTAATGCCGGCAATTACTCCAAGTCAACATGTGTCAACTCACGAGGAAGCTAATAGTTGATGTACTTTTTCATTCTCTTTTCTTCCCATGATAATAATATGATACTGTACGACATCAAACGATTCCAAAACGCGCAAGATCTAAGGCGCAATTTAAATTTACAAACCTGATTATAAAGGAGTATTTCGAGTTGAATACTGCTGGATTTGAAATTAGAAATTTATTTGCACTTTGAGAGAAGTGGGCACCTATTTAGTTGTTAACACTTACTAATTATCATCGAAATAACGTTCTTCGCTTTAAATTTGGTATTTCAGTTTTAGCAAACGAAAATTCATATTCACTTGTTAAATTCTGAAAATTATAAATCTTAAATTTAATTTCTGTTAGATTTTTTCGTGCACCTATACTACAATACAAAATCTCTTTAAAGCAGTGAAAAATGTCAATAGAAATGTTAATGAAAGATCGCGCCGTTCATCAGAAAGGCAAGATCGATTAGGCTTCCATCAAGGGGCGAGAAAGGTCTACAGGATCGGATAAATTTTTAGAAGGCGATCACTGTACGGAAAGACAATAAATTACAAGGAAAGGGAAAAAATGCAAACACACATGTAAAAAAGTCGAGACGTTGGTTGGGGTGGTGAGAGATACAGACAAGCCAGACGTCACCGTTGTAGGGTGGTTGGTGAAAAATCAATAGCCCGGTATGTGTGTTAGTATTTTATTTCACGCCACCATCTGTTTCATACTGAACTATCAAAGTAACTTTACATCAAGTGGGAGGGGGGTGGGGGACATTTCCACGTGAATGATTTTAAGAAGAAGAAAAATCCAGGTTACATCGACCCCAATCAAATAATCACCTAATTGAAAAATTTTTCAATTTAAGGTTTTTTAACAATTAAGAAGCTTGATTTGTTTCTGTAAAATAGAACCAACATTTTCAATTTCTTGGTAGAACAGAAAAATATTCAACCAAGAAGATTATAGTCAATTTAATCGATGCAACTAATGAGGAAAGTTTTGACTCCTTTATCGACTTTGTGTGCTGGGGTTTGTGAGAGTAGATCAGAAACGTATTGTCTGTTACTATACAAGGTTCGTGTCAGGTAGATCTCTGAAACATGAGGGAGGACGAGACAAGATACTGAACGAGGACAATGCTCTCTTACATTAGGGCCCCTCCTCACGTTCCCCCTTCAAACAGAGTCACCGACGTTCAACCCTCGACAATGACGACAAAGCCGAAAAAGTAAAAAAAATTCAACTCCCATGGCGCCAAGAACGCTACTGACATTTTGGTCACGTGGCATTTTACTGAAATCGGTTTCATATCAGTCAATTCGCTTACAAATTTCTATACTATACTGCGGGGCAACACTGATGACATCACTGATAATAGGAGAAAAAACAAATCTTTCAACTCTCAATACTCAAAATGCTCTCTAAATCTAAATTTGTAGAATTTGTAGAATTTTAATAGCAAATAAACAACAACTTTTATCTAAGACAACCAAAAACTTTTCTAATACAGTAAATTTTTTAGCTATTCAAGGTGAAACTTTTTTTTAAGATTTGTATATTGAAAAATAGATAAAAGTGAAAACAAAAACCGTTTTAAAACGGTCATAAAAAGTACAGCAGAAACAAAAGAAGGACAGCAATAAATATAAATGGAAAATTAAAGTCGAAGCGAAAAAAACAACTTTTTGTACGAAAGGTCATTTAGATTTTATTTCTTTAAATTGGTTTAAATAAAAATTACTTATAGAATATAAAAAGAAATTAAAATTTTGATGAGAAATATAATTGAAACGAACTCATGGCGTATATGGAAAATTTGAATGTTTTTTGCGAACAATAAATAATTACAAATGGAGGGGCAAAAATGTGCATCATATAACACCAAAATGGACACAAGAATTAACTATTTATACTAATTCCCCTGTTGAATTCAATGTGGAAACAACAATTTTCTCTTTAATTACGAATATAAATTGCTAATGATATTCCTCTCTTCTCTTTTTCATCCTATTTTACATAATATAAACTCGAGACGATTAAATTGCCTAAGAAGATAGAAAATGAAGAAAACGCAAATCTAGTTGAAAATGTCAACTGCATGAGTACTTAACGAAGCTCTCTTATAAAAAAAGAAGAAAAAATAAATATATTCCTTTCGCATAAAATTCTTTTGCTTTGCACTTTCTCTCATCTCTTTCGCATGAAATGACACAAAATTTTTAATTCAACAATGACAATATTTACTTAAATTTTTGAAAAAATTCCCATTTTTTGACCTACATAACAATTCTCAATAGTAACATTATTAATCTCTTATATTTGCAGAATAGAAATTTTAAACATAAAAAGAGGTTAGGAAAATTTTTATGATTCGAAAAGAAATGAAGACCAACAATACAGTTAAGGGCTGTCGACCTACCGAAACAGAAAGTTTATTTTCTTTTAGCAAAAACAAAACGAATGCAACGGTGAAACTTTTTTTCGACAATAAACATGGCCCCCACGGATAAGAGGGAATACACGCTATGCCGATCGATTTTCTTTTATCAGGTATAAAATTGAGTTCTCCTAAGGCATATAGCAGTATGTATGATAAAAAATTCATTAATTTTAAATCAAGGCCACGGAAAGTGGACGTGAGAAAAAAAGAAACTTTTAGGAAGCAAAACAAACACTTTAAAATACTATTATAATAATTAATCAGAAACTTTTATGTTATCAGAATTTAAATTAAACGATTGATTAATTTTGAAAAAAATTTCATGATTAAATTAAATATTTATAATATATAATGAACGTTTTAAAATTAGAAAAATTTAAACTTTAAAACATATAATTTATATTACGTTCTCATTCATAAAACGCAACACAATCGATTTAAAATGTTATTCCACGCAAAGAATATTCAGAGCAATGTTATTGACTCAAGGTTTTTTTTCTAACTCTACCATTTTCTATTGCAAATAAGTTAAAAAAATAAAAAATTTTACAAGAAACAGTACAATTATAATAACACTTTTCAGACATTTGATTCGTTTAAATAGTAAATTTTTATCGAATTTCAGTAAAAGGAAAATTATTCTTGTAAAATTATAATAAATTCTTGTAGAATTTTTTGTATTCTATTTTCTCAATAATTATATTTTAAAATTAATTTTTTTTTTATTTTTTGAATTGACAATTATTTTGAATTTTTTAATTTAAAATTCAGTAAAGCAAAATTAAGTGGGGTTCTTAATTAATATCTGGTTTGTTATTTTTAACCAAACGTATACTTAATTTAAGATAACTTTTTTTATAGAAATTTTTCAAATCTTAACAAAGTTGCTATTAACTAGTGTGTCATATCAGTCTTTTTTAAGGATATCAAATTGAGACAAGAAACGAATCAAAAGTGTTGCGAAGCAAAATTTTTGAACGTTTTTTGGCTCAATTTGATATCTTTAAAAAAACTGTGATTCAAATATAATAAATATTTCTTATTCATTGTTAAATTTTATATATTTTTTATATAATATAATTATTACTATAAACTTATATTTTATTAAATATTTTAACAAAAATTTGATCAAGATTTTTCAAATTTAAATAACCTTTCAAGAACAATTTTCCAAGGATATCAAATTAAGACATAAAAAGTTATCTAAACGTTGCATCGCAACAATTTTGACATGTTTTTTGTTTCAATTTGATATCTTCAGGATAACTGTCGATTTAATTATTTTTTGAAGTAGAGGTAGAAAAATCTGTCAGTTATTAAAATAAGATGCGTCAATCTCTTATTTTAAGGAACTTTAACTAGTCTTAAGTTATTTTGATATTGAAATAAGAAAATTGCATTTCATTTTATTAACTCACAATTTTCTCTAACAAATCAAATTTTCCCAGGGAAAAAAGTAAAAGTTCTTTCTTTACGGGACAAGAAAAAATCCCCTTAAAGTATAAGAAGATTGTACAATTGTAATCAGTAGAAATTAAAAGATCATACCTAACAGATCAGTATTCCTAAGACTTTAAACAATTTTTCTCAGCAGCAAGTAGAAAATGCCGTCAGTAGTAAAGCTTCCCATGCGTCAGACAAGTCGGGACGGACACCTCGAACTCTCTATCTGTCATTCACTAAACACGTGCTCGGCAATCACTGACAGTTGTAAAATCTCATCACCAAATATACACACAACTCAACCAAAATACTATCACAGATATCAATATCTACCTTATTTTCCTTTCTCTCCTCATTCCTTCAAAAACACGTAAAAATTCACCTCCCCGCACTTGTGATGATACCAAAATATCGACTATATTATAAAAAGCAGAGACGGTTTGATTATTTACACGCTTCACGGTACAAGGGGTAAGAAGTCAAAAAAAGGAGGAAAAATACACAAAAGTAAAGATGAGAAGAGTTTTGCGAAACGGTCGACGACCTTGTTTCATGCGAAGCACCGCTTCCGCCACTCACTCCCGGGTGGGAGTGTCGAAAAGGGTAAAAAAAGTCAAGTGTCAAACCGCCACCTCAAAAATCTATCTTCCCTTAATATTTATCAGATTCTCTCTATTCGGGTAGAGATAAAAAGGAAAAAACGTTTCTCTCTTTCTCTTTTATCTTGGGGGAGAAAAGAATTGACGAGGATGCGGCGCGTATGAAAGATCGCGCGCGACTGACCGTTTCGGAGTGCAAACGCTATCAATAGCGCATGCGTTGCCCGGCGTTTCCCCTCCCGCCCCTCACAACGTCTAAAAAGCACTCGCGCTTCCTCTGTGCAAGAACCACCCTCGCCCTCTAAGCCCTAACCACCCTCTATATGGCTACCTACACAACGTACTACCGCTCCTCGATCCGCGACCGCGAATGCACACACCGACTACGCTAACTTTACTTTCAATGATTCTGACTTATCCCTATATATGTCTGGGTTTTAACCCCCTTGTCATTCTCCATCACACTCTCTTCGAGACAACCACGCAGCCGCACTTAATTAATTATGTATTTTGCGAATCCGACCCTTCTCTGCCTCTCCACCCCCTTTACAAGGGTTTATATACTCGATTAGTTCATATTCTCTCGCAAATCTGAATGATACCCGCAAAAATAGTTTAAGCTACAATTGCAGGGCTCGAACCAGTATATAGTGAAAGTATTTCAAAATACGGATTTACGGACCAAAAATTGAAAAATTACGAACCAAATACTGACTAAAATTTAACCTGTCCGAGTTAAATAAGAGAAACTATTACTTAAAACTATAAATTAAATTTTTCATAATTCAAATTACGAACTTTTTTTCAAAAAAACTGATTTTTATACGGGCTTTAAACAAATTTACGGACCTTTTCAATATTTACGGACCTAATTCAAACCCTGTAATTGTATATGCAAATTTTCCATTCAGATCTATCGAAAAATAAATAAAGACAATTTTATTTCATAACTTTTAAATGTACAAAACGAGGGAAATGACAAGATGACAATGTCTTTCCAAAGAAGAAAAAGCGAGTCAATACGAAAAAAGTGGGAGAAAAAAATCTAACGACGATGAATATCTATAGTATATGTAAAAAAAGAACTTAAAACGAGTTATAAAGACCTGAGACATGAAATAGTTATTTTCGTAACAAGGGCGCAAAATAGGTGATTGCGACGATGGCGAAATGAAGGGACCGAGGGGACACAATTTCGCGCCCGAGGCGAAGCCGAGGGAGCGAAAGTGTCCCCGAGGTCCCGAAATTTCGCCAAAGTCGTAATCACCTTTGCGCCCATGATGCGAACATAATTTTTTGTCCTAACTGCATGGAAAGTATGGCATTGAGGGCACGCACGATTAAACTCTCATAGTAGTTAAAAATTAAGCTTTATATAAACATTATATTGAATGAAGTCTCTAATGATAGAAGTTTTAAAATAGAAATAAAAAACAATGTATTCTGGAAACATAGTATTTATTTAGAACGTAGTAATTAATAATTAAACAAAACTGAAACAGGAACTTTTAAAATTGACAATTTTGATAAACGAAATGGGAACAAAACCAAATATCTCATTATTTTTTTTAGAGAAAATAAAAAAAAATTGCAAATTTTTATAGACAAAATAAAACAAGTTGAAAATGTTTGCAGTTTTATAGTCAACATAAAAAGAAAGTCGAAAATGTCGCATTTTAATGAAGAAAATCAAATAATTAACAAGCGGGCGCAAAATACTTTTCAGCCCGCTTCTCCCACTCCCGGGCGTAATGTGTTACTTTGCGCCCGCCTTAAGTGCCCGAAATGACATACTTTCCGTGCAGGTAGGACAAAAAAGATATTTTTAAATGAAAAAACTTTTTTTATCCTCAAAGCTTCTTTTCAATAACTATTTTTTTCCTTTTCTACCTACTTTTGTTGCTTTTTACTATTAAACCACATTTTCATAAAAGTAATTAGAATTTCTCCGCGAATCACAAATTCTAACTATAAAAAATTTACATTTTTTTGTTAAATTATAAAAATTCGAAGAATTTCGAAAATTTTATTTAAACATATTTGCTATGTAACATTATTAATCGATCGCGGTTTAACAGTTTATTTCCAATTTAAAATTTCTAAAAATTTGTTTATACAAACCATAAGCAAAATTCTTTAAATTCACGATATTTTAAAACTTTAAAAATTTTAAAAAATTAATAAAGTATAAATGTTTTTATTTTTCAATTATAAAAAATAAAAACATTTACTTTATTAATTTGAAAGAAAAGAGGAAAATAATTTATTAAAACAATGCTTTTATAATAAATGAAAAACAGAAAATAAAGCGATTTATAAATAGAATGGAGACTGCAAAGTTTAGTAAACTAATCGTGTTAATGAAATGATTAGTAATAAAAGGTGTCATATCTCATAATGCACTCTTTTGAAATTATTTCAATAACAATTATTACAATAGTTTTTGTTTCAATAACAATGTCACGTGCACTGATACTCGAATTGTTTCAAAGTCACGTATACATGAATTTCAAGAGCATAAACATGTTATCATTAAATTTAAAAATAAAATAAAGAGGAGAAAATTATCATAAACGAACATAACTTATTGATTTTTAACTACTATCGCACTAAAAAGTAAATAGCTATTTAAAAATTAATTATTTTTTTATGTACTTTCTTTTGTAATTATTATTTATTGATATATATTTTTTCTATTTGCGCTTAATTTTGCTGAATTACTTCCAAAACGGTTTTTTTCGAATTTTTCTTAAATAAACGATTTTCTTTCTAATAAACATATTTTTGAAAATTGAAAATAAGTAGTAGGTACTATCAAGTCTAAACAAGTGTGTAAAACATTTCTGTTTGAATTTTGAAAATTTGACCACTTAGATTCGGCTTATCCAATTGGAGGGAGTGTACCCTAATCCATTTAACGAGATTTGTAAACAATCGTTGGAAACATTTAAATCGCTTTAAATATAGTCATCTCCTCACGCGAAGGGTTAATCCTATTCTTCTCAATCTTTGCAACGAAGGAGAAATCACAGCGTTGAAACGTTAATTAAAGTTAATTAAGCGCCAGCAACGATACGTCATTGAATTTCAAGAACGCTCTCAGTCTTCATGAATTCGCGTCAATAATCAAACAATGTTTGTTTGAATGTCAAAAAATTCATTTTTCTCCTTAAGAATACTAATTAATTATAAAAAGAATACGAAAAAAGTCAAATTAACATTCAATTGAATGTTAATTTGATTTTTTTCGTTTCTTTTTCGTTAACGAAAACAAAAGTGAAAAAAATTGAAGAAACAAACAAAAAGAGGTAAAAGAATAAAATTATTATTTTAATCATCATAATGTAATAGTTTTTTTTTATTATTTACCAAAAAGTAAAACAAAAATGAAAAAAATGAAAAGAAGAAAAATTGAAGAGGTATGTAAGTAAGGTAAAATATATAAAAGCGGCCTGAGACGTTTTTTCTTTGTTTCATCAAAAATTTGCCTTGTAGCACACTGAAATAACTCAAGTTTGATATAGCATTATTTTTTTTCGAGAAAAAGGCGCAAGCAGAAGCTAGAAAACGGAAAAGAAAGAAAAAAATTAAAGGCACGTAGCTTTATTTTCCTAAAATAACCCCTTTGAAACAAGTTGAGGCTACTCTTGTGGAAGGAAAGGTTGCGACTTAAATTCGCAGAGCACTGCTTACAGGGGCATGAACTCGAGTACAATTACTTGTAATTGGGTTACGTCTTAAAAAATTGTGCGCTCATCACAAAACATAAGTAAAACACAAAAGTGTGAATGCATTCCCTTCTACTAACGAAAGAAATGACAAAAAACCAGAAAGAAAATATAGTTTATAATAATCCTATAATTATAATTTTATTTTATAATTATTGAGAAAAAAATTACCGTAGAAAAAAGAGGACAGTTTTTTTCTGTCACTAATTACAATCAATAGTTGTAATAATTAATCTCAATCGTGACTAGTTACAATTAATAGTAATTTCAATCAATGGTCTTTGATTCGTTTGAAGTTTAATTAGTTAGAGTTCGCGTGAACTTTAAAACAAGTCATTTGCCTAGTCTACATGCGGGAAATTCCCAAAAGAAAAAGAGAATTCTCTTTCTTCTTTTTCATTTGGAAAAACGTGACAGAAAAATTTTCCAGTTAAACATTCCATTGATCACTAAATAGTGAATACAAGAAACGTGTGATCAGGAAATTCCTTTGCATTTCCCACGCGTCCATTAAAAATAGTTCTTCACTTGCGTCACTATACAGAATTATCACAAAAACTTCTGCATTTTCGCGAAGATAAAAATATTTCGATGGTTATAAAAGATAAAAACCTAAAGTTTGCCACTATGAACTGGAAAAATGAGGAAAAAAATCCAGAATACTCATTTTTTTTAAATGCTTACAAATTTCAAAAATAAAATCTAACACTTAAAAACATCTAAATTCAACTCCTAGCAAAAAAAAGTCTAGAACAATTATTCTTTAAATAAAGTTCACACTTCCTTCGAATTCAAATGAGGACAACCTCAAGTCTCTCATTAAATTTTTACAAATCACGTGATTTCCAAGACAGACTGACATTTGCTTTTAAGAAGAAAAAAGAGAAACATCTCCGTCAGTGATAATCGATATAAACTGCTTGACAACTGTAGTTGCACTCCGTTTATTAATAAATACAATTATTTTGTATAAAATAATTTTTCCATCTCGTATATAAAACTCAGAACTCTAAAATAACAAAATTGACGACCCTCTAAAAAATAGTAGGGCAAAACAAGGTTCAGTTAGCTTTAAGAATCGATCTTCTCTTTTAGACCCTCAACTTGTACGTTCATGTCTAAGCGGAGTGACGTCAAGGCAGCGGGGCGTCATGTCGCCTGTATCGAGAGCAAAACAACGAAGGGAGAGAGTGAGAGAGAAAAGTGTGTAAGCTTAGAGGTGTTGTAGAAGCAGAAAAAATAACAGGAAGAGAGAGAAGAGATTACGCGGACAATAGACGTCAAGAAGCCCAGGCGTTTGTTTCACATGAGCTGATGAACAAAAGCCTCCATGCGACATTATATAAACATTCTAATTTCTCAACGGCAATAGTTTTTACTACTTTTTCAATGAAAAACTCTATTACTAAACGAATGATAAAAGTAGCCATTTTGTATTAATTCTCCCAAGAACAATAGAAAACATTTTTTTTTTTTCAATACTCATTGTCAATAATAGAGTGTAACAAGAATTTTTGAAAATCACCAAAAATAAATAATAAATAAATTGCAAAAAAAAATTTGCAATTCTTTCTTTCGAAGATTTTAAAATGAAACCTTTCCAAATATTCAATTATTGTTAAAAATCCACGCTATAATTGCTTTAAATATTCAATTATAATCTAAAATTTTTAGTTAAATTCATTTTCAAATCAACTCTAATTAGAAAACTCTACTAGAATTCAATTAGGTATTTAAATAAAAAAATAAATAATTTATTGAGTAATTTGAATTCTAATAAAAAGTGTATCAACAAATTTTAAAACATTTTAATTCTTTTGACGAATTTTAATAAAATTTTCAAGAATAATGACATTTTTGAGGAATTTGATTAAATTTGTATTAAAAATAATTGAAATTCTGCAATAAGTTTTATTAATTTATGAAAATAATTGAATTCTTAAGAATTTTAGTACGAAATAATTGAAAATTACGAAAATAATCGAATTTCTGTAAAAATTTTATTATTTAAGAAAATAATTTAATTATTGTGAAGAAATTTATAAAAAATTTGTAAATAATTGAATTCCTGTGAAATTTTTATTATTTTATGAAAGTAATTAAATGTTTGCGTAGAATTTTATCAAATTTTTTAAAAATAATAATTGAATTCTTTTAGGAAATTTTATTAAAATAATAAATATTAAAAATCATTTAATTGAGGAAAATTTTTTAAAGTAATTGCAATTTTGTCAAGAATTGTATTAAATTTTTTTAAAATAATTGAATTTTAGAGGATAATTTAATTATTTCTAAAAATAATTGAAATTTTGACGAGAATTTAAAAAAAAATTTGAACATATGTAATTGAATTTCTGCGAAGAATTTTATTACTTTTGAAAATAATTAAATTTCTACAATTATTTGTAATTTCTCTAAAATTCTCCAAATTATGTCGTACAATTTACGAACTTTTCGTCTTTTCTCAATCAAATTACGGACTTGAAGCAAATTTACGGACCTTGTTCGAGCCCTGTAAAAGCGACAAAAATTTAAATCACCGGTTTCATGATTATCGAAATGCTTCAAATTATTCCCAGCAATTGAGATGCAAATTAAAAGTATTTTCAAATACCTCTTTTTACAAGCAATTTATTTTGAATTTGATGAGATCTAAATTTTTTGAGCTAATGGCTCAAGAATTGTATTTTTTTTATTTTCTCGTTTGGAAATAATAGAAGTTAAGGGCATTTGAACCATTATGACTTCACAGTTTGTGCAAAGCATGTGATTTAAAACTTTGACGTCATAATCGTTCAAATGCCCTTAACGAATTGTTTAAAAAATAAATAACTATGTAATAAGATTTAGATAGTAAGAAATAAGCAAACTTATGATTATTGTCACAATTTTGATTAGGAAACAATTATACAAAGGTTGTTTGAGAGAAGGGAATGTCTGTCAAATTAAGTGATTAATCCCACGTCAAACTGTCAGTGAGAAACAGTGACAGGAATAACAACATGGAGAGTGGAGAGAGACTAAACTCCTATAATGAATTAAATATTCAAGTTCACCGTGCATTATGGCACTTGGGAATATTTAATAACCCTTGAGATTCAACGATCCATTTTAACACACACAGACAATTCAAGCATCTATATAATCTAGATTCTAGAATTTCTAGATTAAATCCAAAGGGGGGTTTCACGAAACCATCCATCGTGTTGAAAATATATAGGACAATCAAGATATCCTATGCACTTTCGATTAGGCAAGACCCATTAACGCCGAGGAGTTGTAAGTGAAATGAAAAAGGAAATATTCTTCAGCATAGTAAGCATTTAGAAAATTACTTTTCTAAAAAAAGAAACAAAATATTTTCTTCCTATTTAAATTTCTTTCAAAAGAAACATATTGTTAATTTTAAAAGAAAAATTACAACTTCAAAGTTTTATGTTTTTTCATGAAAATAGATGAAAATTATTACAAAGAAAAATTGCTTTCGATTTTGTAAAAAGTTCTCTCGATTTTATTAAGGATCTAATTTGTACCCAGTGTATGTATTCGGTCTGCGTTCTAGCGGTAAACCCCGGCGGATCATAAATAACACGAAGATTGCTGAAAAATCTATACATTTTTAATAAGTTAAAGCCAACTTCGCGAAATAAAAGTTCAATTGACAATTAAACAAAACTAATTTTTCCATAATACAAAACAGTTTTTAAGAAACATTAATATCAATTTGAAAATTCTATTTCATCAATCAATCTATTTTTACCATGAGCATGACTATATTCTGTATTAATTGCCACTTTTTACAAAACAATTTTCCGCAATTCTAAAGAAAAAACATCAATTTTCTCCCCTTGTGTGTGAAACAATGACACTATTACATAACAATTGTCTAAATTTCACTGGAAAACAATGAAACAAAAGTAAAAATAGAACGGAACTGACCTCACAAAATTGGGAAGTGTCAAAATTTCAATAGCCTGAAGGCATGTCGATAACGTGCTGGAAACTACGTCAATAAACCAAGATTGTCTATATACATTGTATCGAGAACTCACTCCATACACCAATAAATGATCGATCGGAAGAAAATTCATTCTAGAGATTCAAGTTACACTCGATACCGACATTCAAAAATACCATCTCTTCAAGTTTATGTCTAACAACCATTGTACAAGGGAATTATCACTGTTTCAAACTATCATTACTTGGAACTATTATTTTCAACTATTATTTCGAACTATTATTTTGAAACATTATTTTCAACTATTATTTTCAACTTTTATTTTCAACTATTATTTTGAACTACTATTTTGAACTACTGTTACTCAAAAACAGTATAAATTTAAACTCCCAATTGTAGAAAATAGTATAACTGTATAAAATACCAATTGTAGAAATTCTTTTTAGCTTTTAACTAACATTGAAAGAAATTTATTTTCTTATTAGTATTTCTTTTTCCTCGTTTCCACAAATAGACAATTTTTATTCATGAAACATGAAATACGTACACATAGTCTAGAGACAAGTTTCAAGTGTGCAAAGAAGTATCTAAAATCGATATTGTTAGAACCTCAAGATTCAACGGGCCTGAAAGCATAAAGCCGTTCTATCTCTCGGATCCCGTACAAATTTCGAGCTTCGACGAGGGTATGATAGGATAGATAAAAATCCTCTTGAGAAATGCTTAAAACGTAGAAACGAAAATTCTCAAATAGACGCATCACAAAATCGCAGCTCTCTCAAGTTTATCACAAGATACATTTTATTAACCAACCTTTTCAAGTTGTATATACACAAAAATACCATTTGCGATAAAAGGAATAATCTGTTAATCTATAGTCTAAACAATTAGCAAATGATTGCTACTTCAATTAAATTTTATTCGCAACAATAAAAACTAAATTTTTACGTCAAAAATTGAAATCAAATTTTTCCAACTATTCAAAAATATCACTAACTATGTTACTCCCATTAAATTTTCTTTAAAGTCAGAAAAACTGTTATTCCCTGGTAATGTGAGCAAATAACGACAAGTAGTGAAATGAAATCACAAGAAATATGATTCGTTTACGTTCAATAATCCGTGAGTCGTGACTTGAACTATTGCACACAATACACCTAGAGAAATGATTTATTTGAATTAAATAAAATTTATTTCAAACAAATAAAAAAGGATATTTGTCACAGAACCAACTAAACTTTTATTTAGCTCAAATAATATTTTTTATTTGAATTAATATATTTCGTTTAAATATCCATTTTTATTTAAATGAAAAAAATTTTATATTTTCTTTAAATATATTTTATATTTAGAACAAATAAAAAACACTTTTCATTTTAATAAATCCTGTAAGCATTCTAAAATATTAAAATTCACTTATAACCTTCAAATAAATTTAACAATCACAATCACTAATGGAACTTTTAATATTCATTAAAATAAATGTTTATTTTTATAAGAATATTTGTTAAATAAAGTCAGGTTTTTTTATTGTTAGTCATTTTACTTTACTTTTTCACTTCATATGTAAAAGTCCACTGTCACATTTTTCTCACAAAATCTCAAATAAGACACTAAAATGTAAATGAAATCACATACAAATCTGTTACTTTGTACTAATTAAAATTTTCACTTAAAAAGAAAAATTCTGTACTTAAATCAATTAAATTTGTTAACTATTCATGATGAATAAACCTCTTATAATTGTACGCGTTAAACTGTTAAAAGCAAAACATCTTATTGTTTTACTATAGCAATGCAATATGCGCAGGCGTCTACTTATAAGTCAAACAAACATTTATTTGAATCAAATATATTTTTTATTTGCTACAAATATACTATTTCATAAATTGCAAATATATTTCTTTATTTTAGATTAATTAGTGCATTTATTTGAAATAAATATTAGTTTATTTATTTTAAATAAAATATTTATTTGCAACAAATAAATTTTTCTTAAATATACACTTTTAGTTAAAATAAATAACTTTTTTCTCTGGGTGTAAAGACGCAAAGGAATAAGAGACGTGATCAATGGGAAGGATTTTAAAGCCAGATAAGGATATATGCAACGAGTGATCCACTTCTTATCTCTCATAAAAGCATTTCCTGCCTCATCAAAGATTTAATATATACGATACTACTGTAAAGGGAGAAAAACATTTTTTTCCATATCACAAGTCTATTTCAAAAAATATAACCAATTGGAAAAAATGAAAGTTACAAGAAAACTTGTACATGCATTCATGCAAGTTTTATAACACATTGTTATGTATGAAATAAATGGGAAACGACAACGAAACGTCAAATTCAAGGAAAGAAATACATAGCGATAAGAAGACAAAACATTTATATTTGGAAAATATCTATATTTCTTTTGAAAAGATAAATTTCTCAAGAATATACAAATGCGCTTGTGCATTGAGAAGAAAATACAAATACCGATTTATAGTCTCGAGAAAAGTTAACTCAATGTTTGTGACACAAAAACATTTTACAGGGAAAATCTTGTAAGGTTGAAAGGAAGAGTTCAAAGTACAACTTTAAGTTGTGTTCTATGAATACCAAAAACTCAATTTTTATATTTACAAACCTCAATATGTGTAAACTGAGCGAATGACAATTTAAATCATAAACTTATAAATCAGTAAAATTAAAAAATGGAAAATTTTCAAAAATATATAAGCATTATTTTATTAAATGGAGAAAATCATATTATTCTTGGAATGAAAATTTGACCACACGGAAATATTTCTGGTCGAGGAAGAGGAATTGTCTTGTTTGATATTCAAGTCATGATACTTATACAATGTTAATTAATAAACCCTACTCTTGACTAAAATTCCATTTTCTACCCATCTGTCAGGCAACCCTTCCGAAACGAAGAAACCCCCAACGATTCAAATCGTTGGTATGTAAATAATCACTAAGTGTAATCAACAAAAACAGTCAACGAATCTTGAAGCAGTACAAATGTTATTTAGCGATAAACAAAAAATGACAGAAACAACTAAGCAGATGATTTTAATTTTTTTACAAAAAACTGGAAGATAGGCAAATTTTGTCAAAGCCGAAAAGAAGAAGAAAAAAGTTCATGAAGACCACCGGTAGGTTCTAAAATAATATATTAATGAATTGTTTATTTAGTGACACAGAATATAAGTTAAAAAAATAGTTTGGTTCGTTGAAAACAACCAGAAAAAACTCAAAAATAGTCAACATTGCAGGTTCAAAACTATTCAAGTACATATTATAATTAAAGTCTCAAATAATAGTAATGCGAAAAAAACGACAGTAATGGGCAGAAATGAAAACGCAGTGATGCTCGTGGGGTAAATATTGCTTGGATTCTTCGCCAGTAAAAAGTGAAGGTGTATAAAAAAACACGTTAGGGTGGATCGAGGTTCTAATTGACGAGCTCGCCTCCTTGGTGAAATTTTTCTCCTTTCATCCGATACTTCTTTCCCTCTTTTCAGCATCTTCAGCTAACCTACGTCATCACCCTCTTCAACTCGAAAACTCTACCCATCACAACATAGCTGAGTCGACGGAATATCGAATTTCCCTAGCCAGCCATTCGACAATGTCAAATTCAATATCTATTTCTTTTTATAGTACTCTACATGTCGTAAAATAAATTAACAATGTAGAAACTATTCTCCGAATAGCAAACCCATTATAATTCAGGGATCAATTACTATTACCTGTCACTATAAGGAAATATCCTTTCAAATAATTTCTCACACCAACAACTAATTAAATCAAGTCATTTCAAACCTGCATTTGAACCTCAATTCTAATCTCAACTCTAATCTATCAAATATAAATTTCTTCTTTCTTCAGTAATTTATTAATCTAACTTAGTAAATACAACCCTCGATTTTTCCATTTTTTTCAAGTTCTTATAAAAATTTTTCTGGAATCTGTATGACCGATGCACGATGCCGATGCAACAGCCATCAGAACCGGGTCTAAATTCGGGAATGTGTATGTTTGAGAGAAAAGGAAACAGCAGCGAGTGAAATGGGAAGAGACTAGAGGCAAGGGAATGAAATCGATAAACCAAGATGGCTGAGCACAGTACCGCAGAGAACCGCAACCAAGTTACCACGAGGAGATTATCCGCGCTTCTGGCTATACACTTACAAAGTACGCAACGGACATTCCACTAAAAAACTGAAGCGTTAATTAGAACCAATTTTCAAGAATGTTCCATTTTATACAGAAAAAGCAAATTAAAAAAAAGGAAAACTAGTCGGAAAATTTTCTTCATCACAATAAAGATACTTTTTCATGAATGTAAATGAATGTAAAAATACATTTTTTCCTTTACAATAAATACAAAATTTATTATTTTCGTATCTTAATAATTTAACAATCGTAGATGAAAGATAAAAAATGCAAACGAGAAGAATTAAAAATAAACCTAAATAAGCGATTAAAATAAAAATCTTATGAGACTGAATAGATTCTGGAAATGTGGGACGAAAATGAAAAATTCGGCTTTTCGAAAAATAGAAATAGTCCAAAAGGGAGAATTGTAAGGATTTTTAATCTGCGGTTATAAAAAGTCGCGACGGTTTTATGACGATTTGTACTACTGTTGTCTGATCCAATACGGACGCTACTACTCACATCCCAGTGTGGATGCAACACTCCGAAATCCTACACTATAATCCTTCTCACAGCACTAACAGCAAGTGAAATGTTTACCAAGAAATTTAAATAAATCGAGTTTTCAATTATATCATTATACAAATTTAAACATTACACTCAAGTTTATCTCGTTCTAATTCGTAATTTAATAATTTTATTAAGTAATTTAATAAAACAGCAATTGAGCATTGGAGCGCTCAATTATAATAATTTCTTAAAGATCATAAATATTTCAAATAAAGTGTAATATTAAATTGAAATAGAAAATATGCAAAAAATCAAATCACGTACTTTTTTCTCCATTCAAGTATAACACAATTTGTTGAATAAGTTAAAATCATGAAAATCACGGAATATTGTGTAATTTTATCAGAGAAGCTTATTGCTTATTATAATAATGTGTCAACTCCCGTGTCTTGCAGGACAAGCAGTAAAAAT